TGATATTTTTGTTATAAAATGACCCTCAAGAGGTCATTTATTATTATTAAACGACTCTTGAATGTATAATTTATAAAAAATATTAAAAAATGAGATATAAATTGATTAAATATTTTGCAGCGACCCCTTCGGGGACGCTGTTAGATTAAACAAACATGTATTTAATTGTATTTAATTGTAATATATAATACATTTTTTATAAAAATATTAAAAGATGAGAAGTAAATTGATTAAATATACTGCAGCGACCCCTTCGGGGACGCTGTTAGGTTGAAAACATAAATTTAATTATAATAAATATATAATACATTTTTTATAAAAAATATTAAAAGATGAGAAGTAAATTGATTAAATGTACTGCAGCGACCCCTTCGGGGACGCTGTTGGGTTGAAAACATAAATTTAATTATAATAAATATATGATACATTTTTTATAAAAAAATATTAAACGATGAGAAGTAAATTGATTAAATGTACTGCGACCCCTTCGGGGACGCTGTTAGAATGAAAACGTAAATTTAATTATAATAAATATATAATACATTTTTTATAAAAAATATTAAAAGATGGGAAGTAAATTAATTAAATGTACTGCAGCGACCCCTTCGGGGACGCTGTTAAATTGAAAACATAAATTTAATTATAATAAATATATGATACATTTTTTATAAAAAATATTAAAAGATAAGAAGTAAATTGATTAAATGTACTGCAGCGACCCCTTCGGGGACGCTGTTAGGTTGAAAACATAAATTTAATTAAATATATTATACATTTTTTATAAAAAATATTTAAAAATGAGACGTAAATTGATAAAATATACTGCAGCGACCCCTAGTCATAAATACTATTTTCATCTTTTAATTTTAATAATGTTTACACATATTTTTGTTGTTATTTTTATTTAATATTATAATGTTGAAATGTAGAAATAATATTTGCGATAAAAATGGTCAACATTTTTGAATTTAACTTAAATATTCAATAGTACAATAAAATAATTTCAAATATCACTGAGATATAATCTCTATACAGAAACATATTTATTTATTTTTAAACGAGTCCCTGCGCTTTCAATTGACAACTTCCATTTTTTAATAAATAAAAATTAATTAACAGTAGATACAGTACATCCGTAATAATTAATTTTCTTATCTCTATCTGCTAACTAACAGTTTATCTGATGTTAGGATTTATGGTATGTAGGCTGCAAAAAGAAGAAGAGAACAAGAAACAGACAGTGGTTGCCTTCCATTCAATTCAAAAGGGTTAATAATCACACAAAAAGAAAGTGAAATAAATCACAAAAACTTAATTGATGTAAATTATGTAGAAATTTCAAATATCTTTAGAAATCTTATTAATTCACAAAAATCATATATTTTCATTTATAAATTAGTTTAATAACTTAATTAATAAAGATAACTTAGATGCAAAAATTTTAATGAACCCAGTATTTGTAAAGGTATAATTACATGATTTTTACTATCCCAAAAAACATTTACAGCAAGTAGATTAAGATGTTATTAGGAAATACTCTCCCTAATCAAAAAGGTTTTATGAAAATTTATTTGTATATATCCCCATACACTTGAAACGTACCGCCACTGAGTACACATAAAATCATTTTTCTCGGACCTTTTAAAGAAACTCGCTCTTGTCGATTAAAACTGTTCCTATCCTATAATAGAAATAAGATTTGTTTGTTCTACAAAAAGATCTGCTTAAGCCATTGGTAATAATTCATTTAAATTATCTATTAATGTCAATTAGTAAAAATAATGTTGGTTAAATTTTGTAGGCGAAACGAAATACGTTAAATAAATTTGATTACAATTAAAGAGCAACCTACGGTTTAATTTTTGATTTACTTCTTTCTATTATGCAAAATTTATGAAAATTAAAAACTAAAGAAAAAAAAGTATTAATAATACATTGACAGAGGGTTCGTCCCATATTAATTAAATAATAATAACTTAAAAAAAGATGATATCTCTCTTACATTAACTATGACTTCTTAGATAAAAAAAAAATTCTATTTGACTTTGTGCTTTTAAATAGTCTATACCCTGTATACGAGTAGGTAAAATGGTTCCATCTCGCGTGACAGCAGTCAGATAAGTCGATAGATTTTTAAATATTTATTATTTTTAAGATTTTTAAATAGCTCTAGCATAATAGTTAGAGTGTTTTTTTTTGCATCTCTCTTAGGATTTCATTAGATTGTAATTTAATATTTTTAGCTCCTTCATTCGTTATAAATGTTTAAAGTTAAACCTTGAAATTTGGTATTTTCAAAATGTATTTAAAACTATTGAAATCACACTTCAATTACTTATTCATCAGCCCTCGTACTCTAGCAATAAGATATAAATAAAAGTGGAGACTGTGTGGGAAGTCGAAATCGATAAAACTGAAAATCATCCATAAAATAAATATTAAATTGAGAAGAAACTAGTCATGGCTTTGATAACACATCTGATAAAATCGTTACTAACTTGTAAACATAATGTATATCATAAACTATTAAAAGATGTAGGTATTTTGATGGCAGTTATCACATAGTTTTGCGGAAGTTCTCTCAGTGGCTCAGAATCTGCGAAAGGATTGCTCCAGCCTATGGTTTTATTTTATTAAAATTAAAATACAGATAAGTAAATCGTTTTTAAGACTCATAGACCCAGTCCTCACTAATAAAAGGGTGAAAAGTTCTGCTGAATTTCAGCACTTAATTTCTATTCGTCTGGATGAGGGAATTTTAAAATATTTAATTTTACGTCGGCAATATAAGCCAATGTTGTAATTTGGTGAGACTCCTTTTGACTGAATGTATACGATTAGTCACTGTAAATTAAAACGTTCAATTTATCTTATTTTGAGCCTTTCTGTTAAGGTCTACGTTCCTCTTAAAACAGAAATAAATAATAATATTAAATATCTTGGAGTCACTACTGAAGTGGGAAAAACATTATTCAAAATGTCACTAAAACATTAACATTTTTTAAATTAACATCACCCAAAAATAAATTATAACTCACTTAATTATAGTTATTTTAAAAAAACTTTATTTGAGGATCTAAAGAAATGTTATCGTTAATAATAAATGCCAAGTCAATAGAACGATAAACCATTCACTCTGCGTTATTGTACATTTGTTTTATTTTATTTGCGCGTGTAGGTACATGTTCCAAACATAAAGAAAGGAAAGTACCAACTTACTAATTTTAAAATTAACAAATTAAAGTACCTCGTAACACATATTTATTATTTTATAGGCACAATTGGTGCGTAAGTAAGATTTATTAAAAATTAGATAATAATAATTTTTAAATTAAATTAAGTAATTAAAGGAAAGTGAAATTGTTACATACATATTCAAATGTTTTGGCTGGTTAAACAAATTCACAGAATTTTTTTCTCATATAGAATTATGTATTTTACACGGAATATTTTAATATTTAATTAGAGATAACAGCTTAATTTTAACAGGTCATTATAATAAATAAAAAGTGCGCACAAAGACTTAGAATAAACTCTGACTTATAGCCTAATTTAAGAAAAATGTATGAGCGTTTTTTTTTAAATCACCTTTTCATGGTGTTGTCAATAGTAGTTGACTACTATTTCCCCTCTGGTCACAGTGATCCCACATCAATTTATGGGTCTATGTCGCAACCCTTTAGATATACCAACCCTTTCCTTCTGCAGCCATTTTGTTTTTGGAATGCCATGTCTTAGAGGATTAGAGGATAGAGGATAAAGGTAATGTCATTTTCATCAGGCACATAGAATTGAAGGTGGCAATTTAAAAAAAAAGTGACCCACGCGCTTGCGCATTAATTGCATATTGAAATGTACAGGATAGGACTAAACACACTTGGAACATATATTAAGAATCAAAATAATTTAAAGATTTTGGGCATAGTCTTTAGTAAATTTAAAACTATTATCAGAAACATCCGGTCAAATATTTTATTAAAAAAAGAAAATACAATTAGGCGTCTCATCTTTATTTTGCCTGATGCGTCGTCTTAACATACTGTATATTTTTTAACAATGTGAACATCACTATATTTAAATAAATAAATAATGTTTATATACACATTAGTGTCTCAAAAGGAATTAATTATTCAATTCATCCTTATTATTTATAACAGAAAAAAATGTTCACAAAATAATTATTTTAAATTAAATAATTATTTTAAATTAAACAATTGTCTCGAAATAAGAACTTGCCTAATAGTCTTAGCAAAATTATTAAAATTCAAATTTAAATTAATTTAAATTCACTAAAACAGCGAATTTCGAAAAAAACCAAAACAAGTTGATATAAATGACATTTCTGTCGAATCACTACAGGAAGTGCGCATGTGCGTAATCCGCTTAAATTGCAAACATGGCGGCCTATGTGGTATGTTTATTTTGAAACACCGGAGAAAATGGCATTTTCTTATCTCCTCTATCCATATCTGTGTGCCTGATTGCATTAAAAAAATTGATAAAAATGATAACATTATTTTCCATAGCTCCCTTATAAATAGGATTTTAAAATAAAAATGCAATATGTATAATCTGTTGCCTACCTTTTAGAATATCAAACGTCGTAATTTATATTTTTTTATATAAAAAGCCATAATTTTGTTTTTTTTTATATTGTAAATTGGCCAGATAACAGCATAATTTGGTTGAACCAATAAAATATCTACATGTTTTCCATAAAAACCCACATATACTTTTTCAACATAACTTGTTTGATAGAATTATTGAAGCAAAGATTTTTAACATTTAGAAGGATAGGCATATAATTTTTCTTTTTGTTCATTTATATATAACCTACAGAAAACGAAGAAAAGTTTTAAATTATTTAACATCGCCCTTGATTAATAAAAATTAATTTTTCTAAAAAAGTTCACCTTTTGCTTTGTGCCCTGTATTCGCGAATTGGTAGGAGAAAATATAAGAGCAAAGATTCGAAGAGATTTCTGATAAAATTTACGAATGTCGCAATCTTTGTATCTCTTAGAGAGACAGGTTAGTGGATATAAGCAGTGCGGTTCTATAGTGTTACAAAAGGGGAATAAAAATGACAAGAACGGTGAGCATCCATAAAGATACCTATGATTAATTGTATTATGAAATTTACTAATTATTATGCTATATTTAGTTTTTATTTTCAATCGAAAACAACAAAAATTCCGTTCGGCCCTAGTCATATATCTCAACATTAAAAACTAATTGACAGATGAATTAATAAAGTAATTTATTAACATAAACAGATAATACTTTGAATGTTTCGTAATAGAGAAAAGAAACATATCAAAACAGAAAAATAGAATCACAAAGTGAAAAAAAGAAATGTGATATTATTAATTTTAGTAACTACATTTCTTGCATATTTTGTCTTTATTGATTCAGTTCGAAATTTATATTCCTTTTTAGATTATTACAGTTATTATAAACAATTAAAAAATTTTTAGTTTATTATATCAGGTTTTGCCACCATCCTAGTTCGCTATTGCATCTTAGAAATGATTGGTCATTCTATAGAAAAATTATAATAAGCCTATTATACCATAAAAAAAAAACAATTATTTTACATACAATCAACTATATCTACCATATATTTCTCAGAAAAGATTTTCGTTTAAAGTTTTAAGGATTAGGAAGAAGAAAATTTAAAAAAGACTACTGTTTTATCCATCCAATATTTCTATTGACTCCTCTATCCCAAAATAAATATTTAAGGATTATTTATTCCCTACAGTGGGATGAATGATATTATTAAAACGTAGTGAGACCATGTTAATCTTGATATGAAGAAAATGAATTTTTGGACAGCGAAAAATGTACAAATGTGATTTTTTTAAATTAAAAATAGCATCTTTTGTTTTATTATATTTTAAAATGTATAATGTTGGTGCAAATATTGTGCACATTTATCTATTTATCTTTCTGAACTAAGGTGTGGTTCAAAACCCACTCATCCCTACTGAATTAGGTTTATACTTTATTGGCAATCCTTTAACATGTTGAAAAGAAATCTAGTTAGAGTTTCCTCAGTTCCCTTCATTCCCAGGAGGTCTTCGTTCTCATTTTCCAACCCTTCCTTATGTTCCAGGGTGACTTTCTTATGTTTTGCCAGGGCCTGGAAGGACTGCTGGAAATCCAATATTAATTTAGTTTGTAGTTTAAGAACTTTGTATATATTTTTCTTTGTATTTATTTATCTTATAAACAAATTCCTTCGGTTTTGATTTTTTTTTTAAATTTAACAATTAAACTCTTTAGAAAGTTTAAAATCGTACAAAAACCTCGTGATAATAAAATTAACGATAAGTTAAAAGTTAATCAAACTGTAAATAACTGAAAACAAAAATCCTATTAAAATTTGCATACGATATTCATAGAAGAAAACAAAAATTCAAAATATTTTATCAACTGCACCATTTTAGTTTTAACAATCGAAAAGTAAGCGAAAATAATTTTTTTTTTATACATTTATTGTAAGATATCAAACAGAGATAGATCTTTTGTTACTCAATTTCTTATAAATATTCAGAAGCAATATATTTTAAATATGTTTAGATACATATTTAATTATACAACGGAGAGGCGGCTTTGGAGATCAAGAATTTATCATATATTTAAGGATATTTTCAGTTTATTAACCTTAAACATGAATTGAAAATTATTCCATTTTATTAACACTTTTTTTTTCAAATTTTTCATATTTTCTGTACAGAATAAATTTATTTCTTATTTCTAAATCAGAATATGTATTGATAGTTTTTAATTTTATTTTTGAGTAGGTATTATTGAAAATGATATGAATATTGTATAAATTTATACTATATTATTGTATACTCTAGTGGACACTTTTTTGGGCTAGTCCTATCTGTGTCCCGAATAAAATTAAAATAAAAATAAAAAAAAATACATGTAGCTATTTTAACACTAATAATTTCTAGTATATAATTACAAAATAACATTACTTTTTTGCAGTTTTTTTACATTCTTCTTAAACTTCTATTTCTCTCAACTTCGGTTCATTCTTATCCATCTTCACGGCAACCAAGAGATAGCATCGTTTTGGACTACTCCAATTACAATGCATTCCAACCACAAGGAGCTGGTTCTTACTCCTTTGGTTATGAAATAGAGGATCCAGAGTATCACAATGTCCAATACAGAGATGAAGAGAGACAACCCAATGGTACTGTTACCGGCAGTTATGGTTGGGTGAAACCAGATGGAAACATTATCATGATTAAATATATAGCAGATGACAAAGGATATAGGTAAAACATATATTTATTTTTTATAGTTTAAATTGTGTTTTATTTTGTTTTTTTGTTTTTTTTTAATAGCCTTGAGATGAAGATTATCACAAAAAATAAAATGTTATTTGAGACAATATTAATAGATCGTACAAAGTATGATAAATACATAAAGGCAAAAAATTGATGACAATCAATAATAATCAAAATTGTATAAAAATGATTATAAACTTTTTTTAAAATGAATTTGACACTGTTTATTTTAGAATTGGAAAAATGTTCTACAATTTATGCCTAAAAACTATTTTTTAATAATAATAAATTTTTGAAGAACTCTGGTAAAATAATCCTTGAAGACTTGGGACTTTTGCAGAATAATCTGTAAAAGGCTACAAACAATAATGGGGATGTTTTGGCCAAACTTAATTATGTCAAATATGATACATGAATGATGTCAATAAGTTTGTTCAAGTTTATGAAAAGTTTTTTACTAAATTTTTAAAATTTTTCTAATCATATTTTTTTATTTATTTTTAGAGCTAGTGTTGCAAATTCCCCAGGTCAACTAAAATTTTATGGAGCACCGATCCCAACAAATTTCAAACAATCTTCTATAATCCTAAATGCTTTAAATAACCATAAAGTTTATAAAAAGCAACAAATTGAAGAACAACGTTACAGACCCATAGACGTATCGTATAAAAGACAGTTTGAGTTGAATAAAAAAATAAGTCATGTAAATGATAATTTTCATTACAGCAATTTAATTAAAGATGAAAGAAAAAAGAATGGGTATTATATTAATAAAGAAGAAACAGATTTCTATTACAGTGAACCGCAAAGAATTTTAGTTTATCCGAAGAACGTTTAAAGCTTTATATCTGAAGTACTTTGTGATTTTTAAGTATTTAATTATTTATTTGTTTATTTATTATACTGAGATAATAATGAAAAATAATTGTTTTATTGTTTAAAGTATATGTAGTTTATTTTATCCCATACATATAACAAATATAATTGGTGGTATATAGTGTATACCACAAATTTTTTATTAGTCATTAAGAAGCAGATATTTAAGCCCAAGAGCCATTATCAAGCCTTAATTAACTAAATAGTAGTAAATAGCGCATAAAAAGTATAGCATTCTACTCTCCACTCTAAGCGTTCGTTTAAACAACTGAATCAAAACTAATGTTTACCGTAGGTATAATATTAAGGTTCCCAATCTCCCCTATCAGGTATTGTATTGAATAGAGCAAGAAGTGTTGAATGAGTTTTGTAAAATTTGCTCAAAATTACCGTTAATTAATTTAATTTTGAATATTTCTTTCTGGTTTTATTTATTTTAATAATAAACCAATAAAAACCAATATAGTAACTGTATTTTTTTATAATTTCTCTCTAAAATAAAACCAAATAAGTAACATATAACAACTGATTGTCTGAAGAAAATTGTCTAATTTCTATTCACACAATACAATTTAATTCGATGTGTTGAAATTCAAGTGAAGTTCAGTACCATGACATTAGAGAGGAATCGTCGTCTACATTTCATTATTTACTTTACAATTTCAAAAACGTGATCGAAATAGTAGAACATGTGGAAGGAAATTTAATTCTTGATTGATCTTTTGTCGGAAGTGGAGGATTTTGTAATTTTATTGGAAGTTTATTTTTATGAGTGCGCACGTTCCTGTAAGAAAAATCGTATGTGGTCTGAATAAATTCACTTGATCGGGATTTTTAATTCACGTAAAGACAAATTCAAATAGTTGCGAAGCTGAATTTTAGGAAGGAATATTTTGTAAAATTTGTATAGATTATTTATCCATAAATCAGACAAAGAAAAGATTTTAGTGGGTGAAGTTCATTATTTAATAACTACATGTAATATTTATATTTTGTTTTTATTGTGTGTACTCATTTTTAAACAATTATAAGTCAAAAAACTTATAAATTATTTTTGTTTAATGGTTGACATATTTTAAACTATATTTTATAAATAGTAAATTTAATTTTATTCAGTAATCAATACAGCTTTGTTTTGTACAATTAATAATTATTATTCTTCTCATTAACATAGAATCTTCATATTAAACATTAAAAACCTAGGCTTATTCTGTCACAAAAGACTCAATTTTCTAAAAATGCCAGCAAACAAAGAATGGTGAATAGATTCTCAAACACTACTTATTTTAAACCGAACACTAATACGGTCAAAATTGGACTACGGAAGCTTATAGTCCGTCCTTCTGTGGGTTACAGAAGACTAAAGTTAAGCCTCGTCTATGAAATGAAGATTAAGTCCTCTCTTACAAATCTTAATTGTTTTTCCCAGAAATTTTAAATTCTGGACAGTCAGAATCTTCAAACCTTTCTCTGCTAGAATAAGAAGCTACCAAAAAAACTTAATTACTCTATTCCTTAATAATAGCTGCCAAATCACCTTAAATTTACATCTTCTTGGCAAATATAAAACCTCCCTTTCCACATTTGACAAATACTTAATGAATACTTAGCGATGGATACTTACAAATTTTTACTGACGCTATAAAGCTAGATGGAAGAATAGAATCTGCTTTTATAACTGCTCACATCTAATATTATCTACAAGGTCCCTTTAGAATGTTCTTAGCTGAACTGTACACCCTATAACAAGCATTAATATACGCCAATTCTCCAATTTCCTGCTGATCTAAGAGACTTTCTAATGCCTTACAGCGCAGCTTGAATTTTTCTGTATCAGTAACGTTCGTTTTTGTATTTATTGTTTCTTCTCTCTACTTATTTTGATATTTTGATGATACATTGTTTTTAAAATGAAAAACGAAGAAAACGGATCAGTTATTTTTAGCTAATTTGTTTAATATGTATCATTCTGTCATCCCTACACTTCACACAATAAAATATCAAAATATTATACCACTTACTTTTTTGTTAATAATGTGTCAGCAATATTATATCCTACAATAGTTGTGAGTTGTAACTTTGGTTTACAGTTAAGGTTAACTGAAATGAATACTAATAAACAGTTTGACATTAATTGACCATTATTTAAAGTACACTAATCAGTAAATAAATATTAGTCAAAAATTTAAATCATTTATTCGTCAGGACTGTGTATCACAACATCCAAAGACAACGGTTTTGTACCATTTTCTGTCATGCCGTTTACGTGGTAATGGGTCAATATGAGGCACATACCGTTTCTACACAATTCTAGAGGACTGTCTCCAAGGGTAAGCATTGGTCCAAAATATTTCTGTCTAATTTTGTTAGACAGCGTAGAAGCGGCTATGGTATAACTGAGATTTGTGTAAATATTGGATGCTAACCATATTATGATTTTGTCTTCAGCTCTAAAAAGTGTCATATTTGAAGTTACTGATTAGTATTCTTATTCTACTGAAAATTTACCCAAACTTTACTATTTAACAAATTTATACGAAGACTCTCAGCTTATAAAATATATTTAATACTATTTGTAGCCTTCAAAATTTCAAAAAATTTTAATAACCTTAGTAAGGGACCATTTTCAGCGTTTGTCAAGGTCGAATTAGAATCTTCATCGTCTTTATCGTTGTCACAATCGAAATTGTAAGTTCTTTCATCTTCGAACTGATTTAAGTGACATTGTGCTATCCTAGTTGCCAGCAATACCATTACTGGCTTAGTATCCGTTGCCTGTAGACTGGCTTTACCATACTGACTAAAATAAAGGGAATGCGTTTATTTATGGTACAAGATCTTTCGTAATCAGCTCAAAAATGGTTTAGAGGTAAATAGAAAACTAAATAAGAGAGAGTTGTCTGTATATCACTGATACTAAAAACAGGAAGGTAAAATGACGTTTATTACAAATATTGGAATACAGATAGAACAGTTAGAGAAGCTGGGGTAGATTTGTAGCAGAGGGTAAGTAGAGGAGATCAGAGAAATATACAGTAAGCAGAAGAGACCAGATACGTGGATGGTGAACAGACGAGACAATGAATACAGATATGAAGCTGTTTTAACTTCGATATCTCTTGAGCAAAAGCTTCCTAGGATTAATTATTCTCGTTATGGTCGATTGTTTAGTAAATCTAATTATCGAAAGTTTTATTCAGTATATAAGAATTTTGATTGGTACAGTTGCTTTTCTGGTATCTCTTTTTAACGTTTTTTATTTAAACTTATCCAAATTTTTTAATGCGTCTTCCCCTATTCAACAAATAAAAATTAGGCAAAAAGCTGTGGATTACAGGTGGTATAAGATATTCATAAAAAAATATAAGATCTCTCAATTATATAAAAAAAATTACTCCAACAGGAATATATTTATAAACTTTTTATATAGAACACTTATTAGAAAACCTAAAGATATGTATTATCATACAAGAATTGAGAGTTCAAATAATGAGCCAAGGGAAACTTGGTCTATTATTAATGAATTGAGAGGCAAAAGTACCTATAAATTATGCAATGCAAATTATAAATCCTAACGATTTCAATACATTTTATTGTAATATCGCTGAAATTCTAACAAAAAATCTAAATAGAACAATTGACCCATTAGAATTTGTAAAATCGTCACCAATTGAATACTTATTTTTCTTAAGAGAAACAAATTCCTTAGAAATATTAAGTTTGTAATGACAAGCAACAAAACTGCATCAGGATATGATAGAACGGCAATACAAATATTTTAAAACTAACCTACCTCTGCATTAGACGTTTTATTTATTTTAATAAATAATAGTTTTACTGAAGGTACTTCTCCTCCTTTTCTTAAAATGAATGTTGTGGTTATATAAGTGAGAAGACTTGACTGAGCCGTCTAATTTTAGGCCCAAATCTCTAATTCTGACATTGGGAAAAATTGTTAAAAAACTTGTAAAAACTCGACTAGTTAGATATCTAGACCAAAATAATATACTGGATATAAATCAATTCGGTTTTCAACAAAACAAAAACGTATCGGATGATGTTTCTTCTCGTTTGGGATTATCCTATACAAATATAAATTTCAACGAGTCCGTAGCTGCAGTATTTTGTGATCTGACTAAAGCTTTTGACTGTGTCAACCACGGAGTACTTCTGCGAAAGTTTGAAGTTTATGGTAGCTTTAAGATGGATGAAGTTCTACCTTTTAGGTCGCAGTTAGTTCGAACTGTTTTAAATAGGGTGTCCCTTAAGGTTGTGTTCTTGGGCCCACCCTGTTTTTAATTTATATAAATGATTTAGGTAAGTTAAATATCTCGGGAAGTTTCACTCTATTTGCTGACGATACTACTATCTTGTGGCATAATAATGACGTCAATAGTCTTTATGTAAATATTAGTAATGACCTCAAATCTTTTAAAACATGGCGCGCTGCAAATTTTATTTTTTGTTTATATTTTAAAGACTATTTATTTATGTTTTGTATAACAATATTGTGTTTGTCAATAAGTATTTTAACTTTGACAATAAACATATATTCTCTCTCTTTCTCTCTCATACCTAACATAGAAACAAATATTTAAATTTTAAATTAATTCAGGTCATTTTACTTACTTCACTTATTTTAATTATCATATAGCCATATTTGGGAAGAATCTATTGTCAAATTTCAAGCCTATTTTTTCACCACGGATTGTATCACTCTGTATCAACAGATATACGTGTATTCATTTCCTTCTACACAAAGAATCTGTTTACGATTTTTTTCCTCATTTTCACCATCACAATACAAAAGTAAACAAGCGATATTTATGCAAATTAGCTGCGGAAATTATACACCCAAACCGTCAACATATAACAAGCTATCGGACTTTTACTCACCTAGTTCTGGGAAAGATGTTGGAAAAATCGTGGTTGATAACATTCAATAAAACAATGCATTGCGTTATGTTATATCTGACATCTCTGGGACAGAATTCCAATGCGCTGCGGGCATCTAATTGCGTGAATATGATGGGCACTTCCTTGTGTTCGTATTTAAAGTGGGATTCAAGGGTGAACAGGGATATGAATTTGCTGCAATCTGCTTTTGGACATTGCAGAGGTCTATAGCAAAAATAACTTTATGAGACTCTGTGGATAATTCCGATTTACAAGAAACTTCAAACGGTCAAACTATTAAGCACTATGAAGGTGATTTAAAAACAAATTAAATATGAATCTATATCAAAACTAGATTGGTTTTGATTTGTCGCAAAAGTGGCCACAAAAACCTTAATTTAAACGTCAATTAAAGATAGAAAATATTTGAGAAATGTTATAAAAATAATCCAGGTTCTAGAATAAGTATTAACCCTACAGATTTAAGCGAAGAAGACACTGTGGCAACTGTAACGCTTGTACCTACTGTTTAGTTTTATTGAGTTGTGAACTTACACACTTTTAAATATTTAAGTTTCTATATTTTTTAAAAGATGTAGTGGTTATTGCAACTTAACAACTATGGATCTTACTTAATTTTAAATTCGTCATCATTAATGTTAATTCCATATGTGTAATTAATATAAGGTCCACAATATACACAACAAATTGTCTATTTTCAGGTACCTACCTTATATGTCACACTAATACAAAGATAAATGATTATAAAAGTGATTTGGAATCAATATATTAAATCGTACCTCTTTGATAACGACGTTGTACTATGGCTTCCATTTTTATTGAGCGAATCTGGTCGTTTATGATAGGAAAATATTTCTGGATATGGTATGAGTTTTTCATGCAAATCAAATGCTGATTCTCTAGATTTCGAATCTCCTGAAGCTAATATGTAGTTAAAATGAAAAACTATGAACAATAATTATTTTGAGGATCAGTTTATTAAGTTTACCTGAACAATAAAGGTTTTTGAAACAATCTGTGCAGTATAAAACATGGTCCGGACCTTCTATCATTCCCCTTTTATCAAATTTATCTTGACATCTTTTACATGTCGCTATACTTGCTGTTCTTTCCATTATTTTTAATTTAATTTATTCCATGAATTCTCATTAATCGTATCAATTTTTTTAAGTGTCAGTCTTGTCATAACAAATGACAGAAAGCTTTACAACCATCAACAATGAAATGAATGTCAACCATAGATCTTGAAAACTCTAGATACAACATCTTATATATTTTTGACACCATTATTGCTGCACAATTATGAAGACTAGGCACAATCAAGTTTTGGGTAGTAATTTCTTAAACAACTTATTATCTATCTCTCTTTTATCCACGTCCTGTGGTGGCATTGCAAGCATCATATCCCTTCTTCATAGTCTTACTTTTAGGACTTCTTAGCCAATTTTATTTGAAGACTATGAAGTGTATTCTTGGTTTAGCTTCTGCTAATACAATACGTACTTATGGAAAAAAGCTTCTTAAAATTGATATAAGTTTACGAAAAGTTTGATAATTGGAAACTACAAGTTTTAATAAGCAATGCCAATTTCTTGCACGCCACAAAATAGGTCACAGTTTGAGAATAGATTCCTTATTTTAGATTATTTCTAATAAACACACAACAAAAACCTGTAAACAAAATAACATCTTTATAGAAATCTACTCTTTTACAAAAAGTCGAGCCAAATTTTAGTAGCTACATTTTAGAAAATGGATTAGTCGTCCTAAAATTTTAAAAAATTTCTTTCTATGAAAAATAATTTATAAAAAAGTCAAATTAATGCCCCAGCTTTATCGTCTTGTAGTGTCCAATCCTTTAAAAAGGGAATGCACAATGATTCTCATGAGCTCTGCAAGCATCGGAGCTGGATGTATGCTCTAAAAACTTCTCAAATTCAGATGAATGAGATTCAAATATGGCTTAGCACTTTATTTAACCCCCTGTAGATAATTAATACAAATCATATCAGGTGTTAAGTCATCAATGATATCCACATACATAACAATATGCAAAAATAAATCAATCCATATAGAAAATATCTCAAAACAATTGACGCGCGGTTCCAATAACCTACTTTCGTCTCTGTCTAGCATGCAGCCGGCGCGTAAGGCGCATCTTCATGCGAGGAGAGAGAAGAAAGCATATATAAATAATGTACAATTTCTCCTAAAACACATTCAACAATTCGCGATTGTGTGTTATACTGGTTTTTAAATATGACTTTCTTGAAGGTGAGTTAAATTTTTTTCTATATAAATTCGAAAAAATTGGCGACTTAGGGAATAATTTAAAAAAGGGACATTGAGGGAGGTTATGCTTTTAAAACGTAGACCAATTAAAGTGCATGAATTGTATAGGGTGTGTCAAAGTTCACAGGTGAGTCCAAATTTATAAACATTGGGATTTTGTACTACAGGGATATTTTTATCTAACTTTTTCGGGACAAATAAAAAATTGTGTCATTGTAAATTAAAAAATGCACCATGCTGATATCTAAGGGAGTTTACTACAATTTTACAAGTATACTAAGAGTTCTTTTTTATTTAGATCAGTAATAGGTTAAGTATTGAAAGAAAACTTCTTTTAGATTTGAAGCACAGTTACATTCAGAAATTCTTAAATTATTTTTTTTTTTTGTAATTTTAACAATGTTTCTTACCTCTATTCATGTTGCAAAATTTTATAGCTTTGATTTGGTCAATATATTATCTTAGCACAAATTTTATAACTGTCAAATTTTTTCTACACCCACATAATTTATGAACAAGCTATAGAACTTGATAAATAGGCGATATTAATCTACTGAACAGATATAATTTTATTTCCATTCTAGTAAGGATATGAAATCCATCAGAGTTAATATTTTTTATTACCTGGCCACGTATTCTTTTTTCTTATTTTAAATTGTGAAGAATCTATAAATAATTCCAATTCACTAAATATTCGTTTATATTTACAAAAAGACCGTGAATTATAGTAAATTGTAAAATTATATAACATGCTAGCGTAATTGTTGAGTAATGAGTTTCAGTTCAAAATGACAGGATTTAATTTCGGAGAAGCAAAGATTATTTTATTTTATAAAAAAGTAAATATTATAAATTAATGAGCTTTAAATTAATTTTAACCACGCCTTGAATATACATAAATATTGAAGAGTTTGATAATTTTCTCATAGACCCTATCATTAGATTTTAACCAAATTTATATGATACCCCCTTTTTTAACAAAAAAGAATGAAAAAAATCGGAAGAATTATCGCTAAACATACATAAAAAAAATATTTTTTAAAACCTGTTAAAAAGTTTTTTTACAAAATCAATTTTTATTTTTAATTTCTTCAAAATTTAAAAACTGTATTTTTTATTTTTCTCGTTGTCATGGAAACTGAACACAATGTACTTGATTAATATTGTTTTATTAATTTAGATAATAAACTCTAGTAATTAAATTTTCAAGTATTTATATTAAAATGCAATGCAGTTTGATTAGAATTTATACAATGAGTCTGTGGATTCAAAATAAGCAATTAAGGAATCCGTGGGACATGGCTCACATTGTAGTTCAGATAAGTTATAAATGTAATCATAAAGCATTGACGTTCCGGGGCAACATTCCACTAAAACGTGACTCACACATGGTTTAAGATATGCGCGGTTAATTACAACAATTAATAGAACTTTAGATACGATCCATTTTTTATGTCTCTGAATGAGTTATTAAAAACTTTATGCAAATACTTGTCACTTTTCTCAGATAATCAGGATGACATATTCTTTGCAAAAATTAAAAGAGCTCCAACAAAAATGACCATAATTATTCTGGCAGACCAGAAATGGTTGGAGTACGGGATATTCTTCAAAATATGGAAGATACAACTAAAATTATAATCATCACTGCAGCTCTGTCATCAATTTCAAAAATACATGGTTAGAAAAAGTGGAAGACAATACGTGCCATCAATGTTTCAACACAGTAAATAACATTTTTACCATAATATAAACAATATCGTCGAATTACGACACTAGAGATATTTAATGCCAAATTAATAAAGAGAAACCTTCTATTTGATATTTTTAAAAGAAATAAATAAAGGTCAAGCCATGACCAAACTTAAAAAAAAAACTTTATAGGCGTAGCTACAGAATCTGCTAGAAAATATCAAACTAGACCAAGTACTCTCAATGGTCAAAGGATATCCATAATAGATCCGAAACAGTTTAGGTGTGGGAGGCTACATGGCCTACACATACTTTATACATTAATGAAAAAGCTTTTGAATAGTTTTTTATCACTTGCTTTTCGATCAATTAGTAAACAAAATTATTTAAAAAAAGAATGAAAAAGAGATGCCAGTCACAAACAACAAACGCTTTGGAGTCCAAGAACGTTTATGGCAAAATATGAAAGAATCATCCGTAGATCTGTGAGTATAAAAATGTTATAAAAGTAATTTTAGAAACCAACTTCAAAATCGTGCAGATGCCCTTAATAGTTTATGGAACTACCCCTAATGTATCCCCTTAATTACAAAAAAGAATCATAGAAATTGGACAACGGAAGAGTTTGATGGTTTTCTTATGGACCCAATTATTAGATATTGACCAAATTTTTATGGGACCAGCCCTGAGGAATCTTCTTTTTAACAAAAAAAGAATATTAGAAATCGGACAATGTAGTAAAAAATTATCGTTGAACATTCGACAATATTTCGACAAACTGAGAACCTCCTCCTTTTTTTGAAGTCTTAAAAAAAGGGAACAACAACTAATATTATTAAGCAGGGAACCAAAATAGAGAGGTACCCTCGATCATATGAACTATCATAATTTGTTCGGAGAAAGATCATGTAAAACATGCACAAAGTAACAAATATCGACATAGAAAAAAAGACAACAGCAACTAATAGAAAAGGTAGAACCAAAAATCAACCTGCGACAACAATTTAAACAGAAAGAAATCAAAGTGAACACGAACGAAAGTTAGGAAAATCCCAGAATTCAAACAAAAGTGTTGAGGAAGAAAAAGAATGTCGCACAATGCCTAAGTAGAAGATAATAAAACAAGTAAAATCAGGCATAACAATTACTTAACTCCTTGCAAGCCTAATTAAACTAAATAGCATAATAATGCCTAAGAGGCCATCAGAAGACATGTACTAACATACAGTATAGTTGTCTGGGTATCTAAAGCCCAAAAGCTATTCGCAATAGAACAAATTCAAAGAATAGTATGATTCAACATAACAAGAGCCATAAAAACCACACCAACCAAAGCCATAGAAGTCATTCTTAGTCTCATTCCCCTTGATACTGCTTCTGTTAACATTACATGGGCTCTATTTTCTCTTTTTGTTTATGAAGTAGTTGAGCTAAGCTTGCGCGTGTCTGACCATTGGTCATCACTCACTACAAAGCTCTCTAAAAGTTTATAATTTACAGTTAATTTCTTTAAGGAATATATTATTGAAGCACTATGAGCAATAGGATTTTAAACAGGTTATGAAGGTTTAAAGCAATTAAGCATTACAAAATAAGATTTGTCTCTTCTATGTCTGTTAATTGAGAATTCAACTGGGATCTATTAGAGGTTACCTACACAATCACAAAGGGGGACTGTAATATTTTAATCCGGTGAAGATGATCATGTGTCCAGCAATGTCTTATTCTTATTCTACAAAGGCTTGGTGCTCTAGCCTATCGATTTTTACTCAACTAATCTACGGTTGTTTAGGTATGTACTTCATTATTTTAAATAGATGTTTCGCTTTTAAGTTATACTCCATTCTTCCTCCTAGTTTTTTCTAATATCTTCTTTAAACAAATCTCTGAAATCCATCTGTTTAAAATTGACTGACTCTTTGTTGATTCCGTCCTTTACCCATAGTATCTGCACACTCATTACCCCTATGTGATCTGGGATCCAACCCAATTAGATAAGCATACCTCGTTTCCTTGCATCTATGGTCTTCTTCTTTTTTTTTTTCTTATATCGACTATTTCCATGCGCAACTTGAGTCAAAGTTAGTTAAAATAAATAAAGACATTGTTGTCAAATGTTCTTCTGATATTTTAAAGAATTTATGGATACAGAATAATGTTTTGGGTTAAAAAAGTTAATGGACAGTTAAAAGTTATGTTTAAAGGCAAAAGGATGTTTTAC